GAACGAATAAAACAGGGCATTTTAACCTTCTTTCTGGGGGCTGCCTTAAAGAAAATCTTGTGGCAGTAAACAGAAAAGCAGAGAAGGATCAATTTGGTGTTTGCGCCCGGACATATGATATTAAAGAAATGTTTTCAAAAAATCCCCAAGGTGAGGTAAGAATGATGGTGAAATGGATGTTTGATAAATTCATGTCAAAGGGAAGGTACTAGGTCCGAATAAAAACACATGGGAAAGGAGCCACCTTTGGGAAAGCAGCCGGAGAAAAAGGTTGGAAATCAGTTAGACTGCGCGATTTGGAGAAACTGGTCAACTTTCTACTCGACCACGTTTTCTTTAATTCCGTTGGAACAATATTGAGGCAAGACAAAGGGATACCAATGGGAGGACAAGCTAACCCCCCGTTGGCATCACTTGTCTGCCTGTATGCCGAAGAGAAATTTCTGAATGAACTGGGAAGGGATGAGAAACACCTGTTTGGAAAGAGGTATGTCGATGACTTGCTTCTGCTAGGGTTCTAAAAAAATGGAAACTCTCATGAGAAGAAGAGAACAGAATAGATAATGGATAAAATCACATCTTGTTACCAACCCGAACTGAGGTTGGAAAGCACAGACAGTGGAAATAATATCATGGATTTTTTAGAGATGTGGTTATTCGTACTAGAAAATCCTACCCAGCTGGTAACAATGCATAAATTTAAAAATGATGAGAGTATATGGGAGAAACCTGACAGACCTAAATTTTTGATAACACAGAGGTTCATATCCTTTGGACCCAGGGAGCAGAAGATTGCAACGGTAATCGGCACGATCTATCGGATTCTGGGTAACACGAATATGGATGCACTTCTTCCGAACTGCTTCATGACCTTTCACAGGAAGCTGAAAGGCGCAGCTTTCCCAACTGAAATCATCCTTTCTGCAATGGAAAAGGTCGCTTGGAGGGTGGGTGGGGAATGTCTTATCACGCTTGTCCACAAGTTATGGAAATGCTACGAGAGTTGGAACGGGACTGACTGAGAGGAAGACAGGAATTCTCCACAAGACTGAAATGCTTCAAGAGTTGGAGCGGGAACGACTGAGAAGTCAGAAACAGCTAATGCGACAAAGTGATCACGCGCTCGAGCCGCACGCATTTACATGTCATGTGACCCATTCTCACTCTGACACCAGCATCGGATTTCTCTTCACTTTCTCTAGATTTTATTTTTTTTTGCTTAGGATCCTTTTATATATTTTTTATTTTTTACTTTTTATTATCTGTAACCGTGTCGGCCTACAGCTGGACATTTTCGCAGCTAAGGGTTCGACCTGCGGCTCGGGCCCAGGCCGATTAATTTTTGGCAGTTAATCTGCTTATTGCAGTACGGGTTACAGGGAACTTACTACGTCAGGGTCTAGGGTGATTCGGGAAACCGGTTGCTTGAACCTCGTGGTAAGTCGAAGTGGACGTATTTATTGAAGGGAGCGTTCGCTCCAATAGCAGACTGACTGGCATAGAGGAGAAGGTCTGTAACATGGGGTTGTCCCGTGTTCATGTGTGATGTAGTTATGCTGCGACAATAAACCTCTGACTGCATTACATTTTTATCTCTTGATTGATCCATGCGAACGACCCTGCGATCATGCTTGGTAACGCTCGGCTGGCGTCGCGTGTTTACTACGTAGTTCACGCTTCCGCCTAGTTGCGAATGCCGAGCTATGTTCGTCGCACGTGCATTGTGGTAATTAATTAATTAATTAATTAATTAATTAATTAATTAATTAATTACATTATTTCATTATTTCATCTCAATTCTCTGCTATTTCATTCAGATTTCGCCCCACGCCGCGTGGTGTTCTTTCGCACTTGTGGGTGCGATCGGAGGTAGAATGTTTAAGTCTATCGTGGTAGTTGAGAGGTATTCGGTCACAACTCATGTAGTACGGAGACAGCGGGCTCGTCATCATCCACGATCGCAATCGGCTGAAGATCGAAGTGGTGGAGACATTGAAGACCAAGCTCGGCACGAGTTCGAGGCGGTGAAGACATCGAAGATCGAAGCTCGGCGTGTGAACATCAGATCTGCATGTACTCGAGTGGGCGTGGGAGAGGGCGAGGGGGAGGTAGAGGAAGGGGGAGGTGGTCTGGTTGCAATCGTTACTGGATGGATTATCAGACTCCACCAGCTAGCGTCGACGCAACGACCCAACCTTTGAACCCTTCCCCTGCCCCTCCGATGATGGCCCCACTAGTAGGATACCCACCCGTGACGGCCCCACCGGTAGGATATCCTCCATATCCTTACGAATGGGTTCCTCCGCTGGCACAGCCTGCACCACCTCCTCCATGGCAGTACGGGCAGCAGAACCAGAACTACGCTCCAGCTCCGTGGCAGAACCAATCTGCAAATTCTTTTCCTGGACCTGGCAATAGAGCATGGTTCACCAGGGAGCACTTAGAACTTTTCGAGAAATGGAAGAATCGGGACATTGTTGACGATGCTAAGAAAAAAACTGAGGATTCTGGCGACGAAGAAGGCGAAAGGGAAAGCCAAGGCCTGTACGGACGATGGCGAGTAGAGTCTGAAGAACTGGCTGGCCTCGAATTTTGGCCCGTCACTGAAAAGGATCTCTGACAAGTTGGATGCGGTTGATAAGAAGAATAAGGAAGCCGACATCGAACGTGACAAAGTGATTAAGAGGTTCGCCGATCCTTAGGCTGGAAATCAGAATCCAAACGGAGAGGGAGGGAGTAACGAAAAACGTAAGAGGATCGTTGGAGCGAATTCGCCGATGGCAGAGAGACAGAAATCGAGAACTCGTTCTCGCAGTGGAGGTATCAAGATGCGCCAGCTGAGTATACTGGTCTCATCGGATGGAGAGGGTAAAGCGAAAGAACCACAAAAGGCGACGATCGAAGGCGATCCGGAGGAAGCGGAGAAAGCTAGCAAGAGTCCTGTAAAGTTGGAGGACATGATGAGGATGTTGGCTGTCATCGCTGGCAAGGTGAATGTAGACAACGTGAATGATGGGACAAAGGGTGAGATTTTTGTCATGGCTAAGTCTAGCGTAGTGCACAACGAGGTGGATCCGAACGAACAAGAGAGCGAGAATTCAGAAGATGATGGATGCAAACTCAAGGTGAACAAAGCTAGCGGCGTCGGTGGAGGGAAGAATGAGGTCGGGATCGTAGAGTATATGCGACAAACGCTCGACCATTATATGGAAATGAATGAGAGAAAGTTAAAAAGTTTGTGTGCTAAGAGGAATGTTAAATGGGAACGCAAAGACAAGGGGGGCTGGGAACTCGCAAAGCAGGACACTGATGAGTTCACGAAGTTGATTAATGGGGACGACGAGTTAGCTGGTGACGATGAACCTCACTCTGGGAGAGTGGAGACAGGTAATGAACATGACGGATCGGAGGAAGAGCATGGGTCAGACGGGGTACCGAGGAACTAGTTCCCTCAAGACGGAGACTATTACATTCACTACGAAGAATAAGTCAAGCTATCCCAAGACACGACGGCGATTTGAAGAAAGATCTCGAGAAGGTTTTCAAGATCGGCGCACTTCTTTCTTGTGTACTAGACTACTCGAAGTGGGGACGTACGTACATTGAGTACTGGGAATTAAGTAACGTGGATACACTAGTCGATCAAGAGGTCCGCTTATGTGTCTACGTACTCATTTCTCCCTTCTGTAGTCAAGTATACGTCGGTCAGACAGATAGATCGGTATCAAAAAGATGGAGGGAACATGTCCGTACTTCTGCTGTTTCCCCTATCTTCAGAGTGCATAAATGGCTGAAGAAGAAAGGGTCCGAATCTTATGCTGCT